CGATTTCCGTCGACGGGCTGGGTGTAGAAACAGTGTAGCTGCAAGTTGAAAGGCGTCCTATCTTGATCTCATCTGATGATCTGATCTCCTTAAAGTCTGTCAGGTTGGGACATGATGAAGAAGGTCATGTCTCGAGTGTCAGCTCGGCAGTGCACTCAGTGGATCATGGACAGCAGGGATCTATCCCAAACTTACCGGTAACCTTGTTGTCAGAGGGGTGTGGCCAATTGGCGGGATCCGCGTGCATGGCAAGTCTTCTGATGTCATAACAATGGTGACAATGGTGTCTTCAGCGACTCATGGAGAGATTGTCGCCACACATGCACTGCAGAAAGGATTTGAACACCAAGCCAAGCACCATAGCTGTAGCAAAGTCCAAAAGCATCCAAAAGCCAAAGTATGTCACTAATTGACACCATATGTTCGGGAGGTGTGGCAGAAGGTCTGTTTTTGCTTCCATTTGTCAGGCCAATGGGTAAGATGCTGGATTGGCGATCGGTTGCCTCTTCTCCTTCTAGGTGGGGTGTTTGGGTTGAAGGTAAAGGATGGAGGACTAAGTCACTAAGTTTGATAAAAGGAGTATTGGCTGAAATGTAATCATCTGTAATCGTATGTAATCCATAGGCCATAGTGGCATGGTGACCATGGTGACCATGGTGACCAGGACCGATCGAAGGAGCAGCAACCAAACTTCGATGCAGATCGAGGCCTGCCGAAGTGCTGGAAAAATTGCAGGTTTGGGTGTGGCAACTATGGGATATATAATTCCATATTTTAATTCCTAGACCTGCGCCGCCTGCGCCGGCACAGGACGATTTGGAAATCGATCAATCGCCCGGAGGATCGTCTCTACCGCAGGTGGGGGCGATTGGTTTGCTCATCCAAAATGGTCTCAATTTGGGTGCTCAAAAGGAAAGTTGGATGATTTGACTTAATCAAAATGGCAAGTTTGGGGGCACGTGGGTCCATTGTAGTTCTGTGATAACCCTCACTTTGAACAGTATCCAGTTCTGTACAGATGCTGTGGATCGCAGCCTGACAGGCGAGTGGAGTAGCCTCAGTCACCAGCAGTACCAATAGCAACTACATGGGACCAGCAGTTGGGAGCCGCAGAGAGATTGGTTGCATCAAGGCTGGTCGCAAGGGGCGACTTCATAAGAACAGTCCTGGATGAATCGATGAATCTTAGCCTTTTGAACATCCCTCCCAGCTAGCACAAACATCGCTTTCCGCACTGGCCCTCTTTATATGACGTCTGCACGCTATGCTGAGGCACCGCAGTCTGAATCCGATGCCCTGTCCAGCGGCGGGTTTCGTGATGATGCCGGGCTCCCAGTCGTGTTTGACGACTCTTTTCCTGAGGAAAATCAGTGGTTTTGGGGTCTTTCAAGGTTTACTTTCAAGGTTTACACGCATGAAAGATCCAGCTCTGTGAATTGGTAGCGCGACATCAGAACTGGGTCCATTGGTCCATGAGGATCTTCTCTACTGCCTTAAGCTGGCCTGGGGGACCCAGACGGGAGGAGTCTTGTGTCCAAGGCCCAAGGCCCACAAGGCGAAGTTGGAGGGCAAGAAACACATGTGATGTTTCTAGTCTTTTGATATCTTTTGATGGTTTTCTTGTGAGACCAATGAGTGAAAGAAGTGCGAAAGTGGAATTTTGAATTGCAGTCGGTTTGAGGACATGCTGGACAACATGGATGAGGTGTGGTTTCGGTTTTAGAAGACTGAGCTGACGAGGAGTTGTTTTTGGCACGTACAAAGTCTGCTGATACACTGATTACTGAAAGCTTTACAACTTTTATTGTTTTGGGCAGGGTTGAAAACTTCACACATCCCACGCAAATTTATGTTTGCTGTGCCATCCCTGAATTTGTTTGCCTGGGCATGGCCAGTTTGGCATGTCATAGGGTTGCTATTTCTACATGAAAGATCACACGATGCACGAGGCTTGTACTGTGACATGAGCAGAATCCACGTCCGACGCGTCCGACGCGTCCGATGCGTGTCCAATTTTTTCCTTGGCCGCCTTGGCCGCCTTGGCCGCCTTGGCCCATTGGGTCAGGCTCGATATGTAGTGATGCCTCCCAGAGCTCCAGCGACTGGTGCGGCCCAAAGAACTCTTCTGTGAGGAACAGCAAACATACTAACTTCCTGCTTGTAGGGGAAAAGGATGTTGAAGAAGCAAGAGAACCCACTATGGCGTAAAGATGAGTGAAGTAGCAAATCAAGTCAAATAAATGGTTTTTCCAAAGGATGCACGACCTGACAGGGACTTTCAAATCAATCGGTTGCTTCCGATGCTCGTGCCAACTGCCCGAAGATGTTGCCTTTTTTTCGCAGGTCGGAGAATGTCCAAATGCAGCGAGGTCTGCGAGATGAACGACACCATACCTCATGCAGACATGGAAATCAAGGTAAATCTGTAGATATTTGATGATATTTGATGATATTTGTACGTAGCATGTTTGCAATCAAGCACCGTGCATACACAGAATTACACGTGCATGACGTTCATGGTCAGATTGAAATGACTTGGCATTCTTCGGAGGGCGTAATCAGGACACAATCCTGTCGTCATTGTAAAGTGTGCGAGTGCCATTCTATTTTTCGGATGCTTTTGGAAGGAAGTACCCAAAAATAATTTCCCTCTCAGACTAAAGTGTTCGCTTGCAATAATTTAGAGGCGAAGAATTTGGAACCAATCCTTGGAGACGATCGACCTGGGACAGGAAGATTTCTCTGTCCCACAAGAACAACATGTGAGTCTGGAAGGGCAAAACCCAACCACAGCGCGGGAGCCTGGAGTTTGTCACGTTCCAGGTTTGTCTCCAAGTGCTGACTACTCCTCAATGACCATTTGGATGTGCAAATGAGAATGATGAACCATGGGGGTTGGGGGTTCCCATTTTTGAAAAACACTCGATATGATTGAGTGATTGGCTGTTTAGGGTTCTCGAATTTCTGAGTGGGTCATGAATTATGCAGGTGCAGTATCTTGGAATCGCTTCAAAACCTGATCTGGTCTTACCTATGTTTTGCAAAGTCACAATACGGAAAACACGACAGGTTTTGACATTTTTGCTTGGCCAGCTTTTCAACAGAGGAAGAAGTCACGGTTCTTCTCTATATTTGACATGAAGCCTTCAGGATGGCAAATTATGCACTTCCTCCCAAAAATATCCAAAAATGCATGGGAGGAAATGGCGGAGGAAATGGCGGAGGAAATGGCTTTCTTCAACTCATCTACGAACTCCAAATGTTACAGGTATGGTGAATCGAAGCAGAAGCAACAACTATCCCAATGTTACAGTGTGCTTCTCTATCCCTATGCCCCAAAAACTTCCAGCGATAAGCATAACAATCCGAGCGGATCCTGCCAGTCACATGAATCCAGAAGAGACTCCTGGTTGCAGGCCACTCTGAAGGGCTGTCTAGAAACTTCGAAACGGGGACTCTTGGACACTCACAATTTTGCGCTTGGTCATGACATGTGGGGTGGTGACCTTCAATGGTGGAATTTTGGCTTCATTGGGCAAGAGCTTGTTTTTGTTTTTCAAACCGTGTGAGTTGGTAAACATCGTGTCGATTCGATCCCCTGTCCTAATCGCTGGCCAGCCCGTGGATGCACACGATGCAGAAGAGTCGGACGAGGAAAGGGGATCCGTCGAGGCGTGGCATCAAGGACACGATCCGGAATGTCATGGTGACACCGGCTGAGTTGCAACCAATTTTAACCGGTTTAGACGGTTAGTTGAAACCAAGGTTTTGGATGGTTTTGGCATCTAGCATTCTGTATCCATTAAAAAGATCAAAAACGGAAAGACTTGCCTAGTAACATCCCCATCCTCACCCTACCTGCAGGGTCGAGATACTTTTCGGTTGGGTGCCACAGATTCCCAGATCGAGTGGGGCAGATCGGTCTGTTGATGGTGCCAGATGTGCTGCAAGAGCCACATAGGAGCAGCTGTACACCAGTTGCGAAGTGAATGCCCATGGGCCCATGGTTTGACAATTCTGCTGTATCAATGTGGTTCTATGTCTGAAAATGGGGTATACCCCCAATTATAGCAATTTAGTAGGGATAATGATCATTAACCATTGGGTGTAGGGGTACACTATTTTCAGACAAACCCATGTACTTCTAATATTTTCTAACCCACAACTGAGGCCGGGGAGGCCCCGGCTGCCCCGTCGAAATGTGGCTTGGCATTGTGATGTAAGAAGAATGAACTGCCTGCTCTGCTGACCACATGGGTCATCAGCTTGTTGGAAAGTTTGATGCAATGTACACGCCACTATAAGTCAATTATAAGCCGTGAAACCTTGAGGCAAGGAATCCGACATGAAAGTCAATTTGCAGTGGTTTTATGATCGCAGCCCCATGAAGTTCTTCCTTTATCTAAGAGCCTAGGACTGATGACAGGCATCAAGTTTGGTTTGGCTAATCATTAATCCCACGATGTGCAAAAATTCTGCTTCACATCCAAGTCCAACACTTCGGTGGACTCCACGCCGTATGCGCAACTTGGCTCGCAAGACTTGATAAGACTTGTGTGTTGCATTCTGAAGCTGTATATCACTTGGATTCAAATTGCTATGACTTGATACAGTGGTTTGCAGTGGTTTACGGCCCAGCAGGGTCCTTGATACCAGTTTTCCTTGGTGTACCTTCCATCAGGTTGCTCGGCCCGTCCCCTGCTTACCCCTAAACAGTTGAGTCACTAAGGGTAGCGCGGGCCAATGTGACACCGCCTGGCAGCTCAGGATTTGGAGAACAACGAACTTAATGTCTATTTGGAGGTGGCAAGATTTGTATCCAAACCGTTTGCTTTCCAAAAGGCCAATGCACACCTCCCTGTGTCACTGGTGGCACATTGGCTTCGAGATTCTGACTTCCCATCTTACATTACTACCGATTTCCTTTTGAATCTTTGAAGGAGCTGACCCAGTTTGTCCCCTCCCTAGCTGCCCTAGATTGGCCTAGCACACTGCTTGCCATGCCATGCGCATTGAGGTTGATTGCACGCTTGAAGTCAGGGCAGGTCTTCTCTAGTGTGGAGCACGGCCTCTTCGGGGAGGAAAATGGAGTCGAATGGAATCTTCGATGCAGAGTTTTTGTATGTTGACACCACAACATGAAATTAACAGAATGGATAATAAAATTAACATAAATTAACATACAAAAACTAATCATGTCCCACTGATTCCCCATGTCGTGGTTTCCAGGAGATCCTAGACCAGGGGGCGGAGTTCTTCGTGGACAACTACAGGTACAGTATGGTGCAGTGATTTGTTTGTGTTTTGTCCAATGTAAAAAGCTAAAACAGCTAAACAGATTCAGGCGCCCCTACAAAAGGTCTGATGGTGTTTCTGCACGAAGTCAATGATAACAATGATAGCTATATTTTTCAATGCTCTTTGTTGATTTTTTTTAAAAAAATTCTGAGATTAAATTGTTAAGACAATGTTTTGTGAAGGTTCCAGGTTCCGTGGATTTGCTGCATCCGCCAGTCCTCGCATCATGTTCCTGAAGCGCCTCTTGGTGTGCTATGCCCTTTGTGGTGTCTACTATAGCGAGGACCGGGGACTGGGTGACAGGACTGACAGGACTGACAGGACTGGGAAATGGTCACAGTGGGGCCATGGTCTAGGCTGGAAATGCGGAGCAACTGGGAGATCCCTGGCCCTATCCAATTGCCGGGACCTCGGGACCTCCGTTGCTTCAGTTCGTGCCTGAATCCTTGGAGGAATTATGATGATGGGAAAATGGGCTACGGGAAGGTACCTGCCATAATTCGCCACCAGTTGTTTTTAGGTGAGATAAGTAGGGTGATCCGGTGATCCACCAGTTATAGACCCATCAAAACCATAAACTGGAAGGGCCTGGAAGGGGTGGGTCTATGATTGGGGCATCCGAGGCGTCAGTGCTGGGCCACGGCTCCCGCGTGTTGATTCGCCTGGAGGTTGGGTGGAGATGAGACGAAGCTGTGGGGATCCGTCTCATCCTTGTGCCTTTTTTAATGATTTCAACTCTACTGTAGCATTGAAGTCAAAAAACATTAAATAATCTGGGGACTTGAATCGAATATAATCGAATACATTTGGGTATTTGCTTTTCTAGATGATTTCAGATGCAATGTGGTGCTGTAGCCCATAGATTCATGACCTGGAGTGCAGGGAGAGTCTCTTGTGTGTGGAGACGCACTTGGATTTCCATTCTATAGAAAGACAAGATGACAAACCATGCCCGACTGGGACAATTGTAATTGTATCCTTCTGATCTATTCACCATTCATGAACATCTAGGCATTTTACCGAGGGGAAGCAGCTTTGGTTGAAAAATCAAAAAGTGTTTGGGCTCTCACTCAGGACGTTGACAGCTCGGAATTCCTGTCGGAAGCCCAGAGGGCTTGGGTGGGGAGGAAGCGAGACTGGATTCATCCCTCTCCATCACTTGGGCATTTACTATGGCTTGCCTCACAAACCTCCTTGGGTCTTACTTTTTAATCATGCCCACAGGATGACTGCATGCCAGAAAAGCTGCACCCTACATGCACTAACTTAAAGCATCTCTATGAACGCGTGCTGGAAAACAGACAGATTTGAGAAACAAAATGTTTTGATGACTTTTGTGACTGGCGTCGGACGGAATTTCCGCCAGGAACTACCTTTTGACCGGAGATCCTCACATTGTGGACTGGAAAGATCACAAACCACCAATGCCCATCCAGCTCTGGGGCACAGTGTGCAGTTTGTTGCGTTTTGCGGCACAGAATGTGGGTTCAGGACTCCAGGACCAAGTGCATTTCTGTATAGATGGATGATATATGGAAGAGTACATGGATGATATGGATGCAATACAAAGGATGAAGCATCCTTTATGTTATACAGTAGTTATACACTTATAATCACTATACTTATACCATCTGATACCGCTACACGACATGTATCATTCGTCATCGGTGACGGATGCGAGGCGACGCATTGCTGCCACTCACTCTGTGGAGCTCACAGAGACAGGAACCATCGTGGAGAAGAAGCCAAGGGCCGAGCTTCCGCCGGACACAACGGAACACGACACCAGGACGTTTGAATAACAAAAAGTGAATCAAAGTGAATCAATTGCATAAGAAAAAGATACAAAAAGTCCTGACTGTGTCCTGAAATTCTGTGACATCTCATCGCCTTGAGTTGCTAGATGATCTAGATGTTGCTCTCCTTGAAGACAAGCTGATGCTCGAAGTCTCATTGTAAAAAAACACAGGCTTCGCGTCACGAATGTGGCCGATGCGGTGAGATGCATCAACGGAAATCACATGGGTTTGCAGCTCAGATTTCAGTAATGTCAGATGCTGGAATGCGGATAGCAGCAGCTAAGACATAGTTCCTATCTTTCATTTTGTTCTGGGATCCATGTTGAGCACCACAAAAGCATCTCGGTATATCTCAGTATGATCAATATTTGCATTTGGCATTTCTGAAGACTGCTGGTTGTCGGACAACACCCAAGGATTGAATCTCCCAATTGGAGGAGTTGGGAATCCCTCGCCCTTGGGGTCTGATTCCCAGCGCTCCACACTGTCGGGCTGTGGCATGCCGCAAACATGAATCACCATCATCAACATCGTCACAAGATGTCACGAGTTACAATCACGATTGCCATTCTCATTTGGATCCCTTGGCCTTCGAGTTTCTTTGGGAACTGCTTGGTCACTTTACCATCGATGTGTGAAATCAGGGTTGCGCTGATCCAGGCCGAACTGCCTTGTAAGCTTTCACGGTGAAGTTCTCAGCAGGTGCATCTGAGCAAAGCGCCGTGAAAGATGTGTGGATAAAATGATGAAAGTATGTGCTGGCATGTATAGAATGAACACCTGCCATGACCCGCTTCCCCTTGATACAATGAGAAGTGACAGGTTGACAGTTTGATAAGTTTCGTCTTGAACCTACAACAATCTGTATATATTGATATTGGCCTTCTGGGCTTCTCCCTCCCAGCTGTGCTTTGATGTTAGCAGAAGCAAGGCAGCTGGAAAAATGTCCCTGCAGAAGTGGTGACAACTTCGGCCAGGAAGCACGCAATGTCCAGTGTACCATCCTTGCTGCCCCTTGGATTCAAAAAGGCTGCAGAAGATACAGAAGTGGGACTGGAAAGTTGGAGTGGCAGAGAATTCTAATTCAGATCGCTTCATTCGCTTCTTTTTTTTACTCCTTCCTTGGTCACACATTCATGATCTATGAAGCCTCGAGTACTGCTTGGAGCTGGACAGACTATTACAGCCGAGCAGAGTAAGCCATTTCAGCTGTGCATTCCATAGAAATTATACGGAGGTTTCCTAAAACCGGGGTACCTCCAAATCATCCATTCTAATCGTATGATTAGTATGTTGGGGGTACCCCCCATTTTAGGAACCCCCAGTACACTGGATGGGTCGCGCATTCGCCCACACTTCCGTGAGGCACGTTAGATGTCACAAGCTCAGGTCGCGTTTTGCCCTTCCTTGGCGAAAGTCTGAAGATACTACCGCCATTTCAGGCACAGCAGAGAGCAAGTGATTCGAAAATTAGGGTACTATCAGGATATTATAGGTTGTTGATTGAATATTGACCTTCCAGTTTGTGGGCGCTGACATTTCTTTAGGTTGTTAAGTTACTGCAGATTGCTGAAACTTCTGGTTGTACTTGATCCGAATTATACAAGCATCGGCAGCTCGGGCACAAGCGCTTGCCAGGGCCAATCTCAGAGGCCTCCGAGATTTCGGGTTCCAGCAAAGTGAGCCGCGAGGTGCAACCCGCAGCTATGATAGGTCCGGATAGGTCCGGATAGGTCCGGATAGGTCCGGATAGGTCCGGATAGGTCCTGATAGCTGGTTTGGTGGTTTTTGGTGGATGGATATGCATTGCTTCTGGGGTTTGGGAAGTATCTTGCATTCTGCTGCAAAAAGCTTGGCCAAAGGAGCGACATAGCCGACATAGAGCGTTTTTGGGCGAAAGGGGTGAAGTCTCACTCCGTTGGATGCCTGCCAGGATTGGAAAGTGGAGCGCCGTGTTCAAAGTGGCCATCTCTACATCCGCACAGATGACTTCGGGGATGTGGCGCACCCAGTCGGTCTCAAGAGATCGCCCGCTTCAGAAACCAAAAAATAACGATTCCGAAACCAAAACGCCGCGATTCAGAAACCTTTTTGGTTTCCAAAGAATCCTTTTGGTTTCCGAATAATTTTTTAACCGTGTCAAGAGGTGATACGAGGCAAACTGGAAGAGCAGGCAATGCCTTTCTCAATGTCAAAAGGTCCCATTTTTGACATCAATTTGTTGTTATGAAGTTCTGAGTCTTCCTGTTTTATCCTGTTTTGTAGCTGATTCAAGAACCACTTGTTGTCATGGCTGTGGCAGCTCAGAGCTTTACAAGACAAAGTGAAAAACCAAACAGCTTGCCGTACCAGCGGATGAAACAACTGGGAAACCAGCATGAGGATTTGATTTGTGTTGATGTTGTGTAGTGATGCCTGTCTGAGCTGACTTAGCTCTTGGATACAATGCATTATGAAAAGCAGGGAAGAGCGGGGAAGAGGAAACTAGCAGAAAGCAGAGCTCTCGCTGGTCCAACTTGAAGGGGATTCATTCACCTTCCCCATTTCATGCTTCCAAGTTCTGAGCAGCTTTCTTTGGAACGATGACAGACACAGGTTTCATCTGCCAGAAGCTCCATCATGGCGACGAAGGAGTCCAACGACCCACGCAGTCGCTTCAAGATGGACAAGGCGGGCAGATGCCACAGACGCACTGGGCACTGGGCACTGGGGCGAAGCTAATCAGCAGCCTGGAACCATCTGGAACCTCAAAACTCCACAGATACTGTACCACTGGAATTTCCACACAGGAGCTGGCACATGTGCGGATGGCAAAGGCTGGCCGCTGAGCAAGATGATTCTGAGCATAGCATTCTGTGCCCTGGAATACGCCATGAAGCTGATTCTCATGTGACTCATGTTAGTCAGAGTGACGTACCTGGACTATAATTTGACTATATCTGACTATCTATTTATATATGTGTATATATATATATATATTCTATCTGTGTATGTATGTAATGTAATGTAATGTAATGTAATGTAATGTAATGTAATGTAATGTAATGTAATGTAATGTAATGTAATGTAATGCATGTATGTATATATGTATATATGTATCCTAATATGACTACATCTGACTATGGTCAGTTTTTGAAAATCAGGACAGAGGACGAGGAATGAGCTGCAGGTGCTTGATACGACATGTCGATGCCCTGATAGGCACGTCAGCAGGCGGAGCTGCGGTCAGACATGCTGGCGGGAGACCTTTGTTTCCCTGCAGGGGTGCCACAGCTGAACACCAGGCTGGGACCAGGGTGACAGAGCTTCGGACCTCGGAGTTCCTCTTGCACCATTAGATACACTAGATGATATATCTAGATATAGGCTGAGGACGGCTTGGGGTGTACGCGTTGATACGGTGAGTCATTGTTTGATTCTCCATGCAGGGCCTGCTTTCTTCCTGATGTATCAACTAGACTTTGATTTGGATCCGCAGGAAGTCTCGCTCAGCCACCAGGTGGGCTAAATTCTGTGGCCAGGGTCGGTACCAGTCTGGTTGTGGCTTTACTGACTCTAGATGTAACTCACAATCATATTAAAGAAGGGCGAAGAACAGCTTCTACAGACTTTGCACTAGTCCTAACGTCCATTTGTTTGCTGAAATAGATAAAGCCATTCTTACTGCATACCAGAAATGCACTGTATCACTGTATCCATTCGAAACGATGGAGATCAATTCAGGTGTCGTGCCTTCAGGATGTCCAGTGAAAGCTCTTCATTTTGACAGGCGGATGCTGGGTCAAGTCTCATTACTCCGCGTGAACTCTGAGCCCGACTTGCGATCCAGTGGGGATACCTACCGCAAGTGATGTGCCTTACCACGGCCTTCCATCACCGCCAAGTTCAATAGGCAAAGATCCACTGGACTCAGCAGCTGCTTGGCCCGAGGTGTGAGTGAAGGAGCAACTGCAGAGGATATTGTTTGGGTCGGTCAAGCCTCGACCTCAGCCGATCCCTTTCCAACGGCCTGTTAAGCTGCATGAAGCAGTTGATGCAGTTTATATTTGTTGGTATTTGTTGATGCTGCTACCGGGTTACCGGTTGTTTGTTGTGCCACCATTGTTTCCTGTTGGTATTCCAGGCCTTAGTGGCACGACAAAACATGCCGCTGGTCACACCGCCCTCGGCGACGGCACTCAAGACCGGGCTGCAGGGCCATGGGAACCGATGGTGACCGGTTACCGACTGGAGTTGTTGGAGATGGATTTGTTGAAATTGATGGAATTCATGGGCACATGTCATCTATTGATGCAACATGTTCGCTGGATGGCATCTTGAAGTCTAGAGGCAAATCTATCCTGTCACCAGTAGGTCAGTAGGTTGCAGGATTTCCCTTGACGAACTCACATACCGAGGTGTTTACAAAGAGTTGTGGACCCCAAATCTTAACCTCTTTGGTGATAGTGCATCCTGCCAATGGATGGAACCTGAGATAACGACAGAAAACTCGAAGATCTGAGAGGAACACTCAACCTGACGGCAGTCGCAATTGTTGCAGAAATCATCACTACATATAAACCTAACGGTATCAGAGGATGTAACATGGTTCTCATAACTTTTGTGGATACTTGGTTTGACCTACAGCTTCCACTGTTGCATTTTTCTGCAGGATGCTGATAGAGCACTACGATCCGGTGAATGCAAACCTGTACGGTTCCAGATCCCAGCACAGAAGCATGGAGATTTGCTTGCATAGATGGTGAAGCGCAAGTTTGGCTGTTTGGATGCAAAAGTGTTTAAGATTGAGGGAGGGAAGAAGGGTAGCAAACCTACATAGATCAATGGCATGCCACACAACATGTCGTAACATGTTGTAGCTCGGTGAATGACTACTGGGATTCAAAGTGTTCAAATAGGACGGGGATAGTTTTAAGTCGTACTCACACTCACACTTGCACCTTGAATGCCTTGCACAGACAGCAAAAAGATGGCAAAAGGACCTTAAGTGCGGCTGACAAATGCACGGTACACAGCGCCAACATAGAAGTCTCTCATGTTTAGAATAGCTTTGCAGTGAGGCACGAGGATCCCCCACACCTTTTGATGAGAACATCCCGTATCTCCTGTATCCCCGCCACCGCCCCGGGTGAGGCACCGGCGGCTTCAAGTCCGTGGACAAATTCAGGAAAGAGTTGGCCTCCGGAGAGAGCCTTTTGGCCGGGGGCCAAAGAGGATATCCAGGTTGTGTCACTTGTGTGATATGTGATGATCCATATGATCCATCCTCTGTTCAAGATGAAAGGTTGAAGAAACTACTGCATAGCTTGGAACGATTGGCATGAGCAGTTGCCTCACACCTGAATCCATGTTGCCGTGGCCATTTTCCTTTCACGCGAAATGACAGGCCTAAAGCCATTTATGCTGCTACGCCTGCGCCGGAAAAGCTGCTAAGCGAGCTGTTGCAGCTTGGAAACTTCAGTGGCACCGGAGCCGTACTTTGCGATCTTGGGGCTCTTTGCGCTTTTGGCTTGCTGCTGCGCTGACTCCGATCTCTTTGCAAGTTGGACTTCAACTAGGTTCTAAAGAATTTGGCCGGCAATCCAAGCGGTGACCTGGCAACGTTCTTGGGGATCAAGGGTGCGGTCCTTTGTCTTCACCATCTACAGCTGGCAAGCGCCTTAGACTGTGGCTGGTTGGAGGCTGAATTCAACCTTTTTGCTGATTTTGTGTTTCATCTCCCGAAGGGGAGCCAATTCAAGTCATGGGAGATGCAGAAAGGGACCAATCTGGAGGTGCCTGGTCTCGCGTTCCAGTTTGGGACGGATCGCCACAGACGTGGCGAGCTTTCCAGAGAGAAATGAAATGGTGGACTAGCAGCCTGGACTTAGAAGGAACGAAGAAATACAACCTTGCTGCACGTTGGTTGTTGAGACAGTCAGGCGTAGTTCGCCAAAGAGGTGAAGAGTTCAATCCAGATGAGCTTGAATACCAGAAGGAGGTAAAAGGTCAAGATCCACAGACAGGTGACGAAGTTGTCATTACGCCTGAGGACCCGCTGAGCGGCTTGACAAAGTTGCTGAAGGCGTTAGAGGGCATCAATGGCAAAACAACACTTGACAAACGTGGAGAGCTGAGAAATTTGTTTTACTTGGAGTTGAAAAGAAAACCAGGTGAACGCATAGCTGAGTTTTGCTCCAGGTTTAGAGTTTCTCTTGCAGACCTCAGAACGGAGGGAGTGACCTTGCCTTCCGGTGAAGTTGGATGGTTTTTCAAGACGAAGCTTGGTCTTGATCCGCTGCGAGTGCAACTCCTGGAAACAGCCTTGTCAGGCGCTGAGGAGTACGAGACGATCGAACGTGAAGTTCTTCGACTTTTCAAAGATCTGCATTCACAGGATCCGTTGATGCGCAAGTCCTTTGGAGACAGCAACAACAAGGGCGGTTCCTTGATGCAAAGGTTTTTGACTTCCCAGAATCCTTCTAGCAAGCCTTCGTCCTATGCACCTTCGATGGCTAGCTCTGTGCCGAGGTCCCACAGGACTTCAACAACTTCTGGATCGAGCAGGTTCAGTGGATTTAGAAAGCCTTTCCCGGCCCGACAGGCCATGGTTTCTGAAGCAGAGGACCCTGAACCTGATGAAGAAGCAGAGCTGTTGGAAGATGAGAATGAGGCTGAGCCGAACTTGGAGGACATGCTGAAAAGTGAAGCCGAAGCACTTGCGGCTGAGTTGGATGACGCTGCCGACAACGGCGTCGATGCCTCGACCTTGCAGGAGATAGAAGAATCAGTTGAAACCGCAGCTGAAGCACTCCTCACCATGAAGGAGGCACGAACGAAGTTGCAGGAAGTGAAACGTGATCGGGGTTACCTGAAACCAGCCGATGGTACCTCGAAGAACAACCCAAAGAAGACTGCCAAGAACCCATGTTTCGATTGCGGCCTTCCAGGACACTGGGCTGGAGACCCGGAATGTGGCAAACCTGGACAAGGACTAGCCAGGAAGTCTTCGTTGAAGAAACCCGGCAGCCGACATGTCAAAGTGGTTGAAACTTTGAATACAGAACATGTGGATGAAGCGGAAGGTGAAAGCCATGAGGTGCTCACCGTGTCGGCTCAACCTTTGTCCCAGTCCTTTGTAGCTGCACTTGAAGATGCCCACTCCGTGACAAAAGAAGCGCTGATTGCACAGCTGGCAGAAGACAAACGTCTTGTTGGAGCTTTGGATTCGGCATGCAACAGAACATGTGCTGGACCGGATTGGTTGAAAGGGTATCTTCATGGACTTCAATCTGCACCAGAAAGCATTAGGAGCCTAGTGACCTCAAAGCCTGAGCATGAAACCTTTCGTTTTGGAAATGGCGGCACCAAAGTGTCGGACATGCGATGGAGATTGCCAACAGTGATAGGAGGGAGGCTGTTTTGCTTTTGGTGTTCGGTGGTGCCAGTTCCATCACTTGGTCTTCTACTTGGCCGTGATTTTTTGGAAAGTATTGGAGCTGATCTGTCCTTTTCACGCCGTGAACTTTGCTGTGAACGTTTGGGGGCTGAGAAGATTCAACTGAAACAGCTGGCTGCAGGACATTACCTACTGCCTTTGATTCCTGCTGCATGGCCAGGTGTGGGCTCTCAGCGTTGGCGTAGGATTGGACAAGATGGCATCATTGAGTTGCAGATGTCGACACCAGATTGGTTGAACTATTGTTTCAAGGGTCAACGTTCATTGAGGGTGGCAAAACATGACCATTTGCTCACAGAACACAGTGTACATGTTGGAAATTTGGTTTGCACCGTGATGTCAAGCCCTGTTTCTGGTCCTTCGGTTCAAGCAACCTCAATGCGCTCTTCTTCAGAGCACCGTGAACCGACTCCTTCCTCTACGACCAGGACGACATCAAGGACATCTGTGAGAAATGCTGGTGCCAAAGGTCGGCGTGCAGACCGGCAGATGGCGCCGAATGTTCCTCAAGCTGAACGAGCGCATGCTGTGGGCCGCAAAAGGCGTCCTGCTCTGGCTTTTACAAAGGCCTTTCTTGCGCTTTCTGCCCTTTCCATACCCCTCAACGTCATCAACAGACAAATGGTTGGAGCAAGCGCGCAAGCAGGTTTCAGCCGGGGTGATCTCAAAGCGCCATTTCAAGTTGGCGGTCGCAATGAAGCAGTTCACAATGGCCAATCTGGGAGAATGCATACACCTGCGAGGACGCATTGGCCTCAAATTGGCGTTCTGCGAGGATCCGACGGTGGAGGGCATGTTGCAAGCTCTTCCCATGAAAGGCATGGCCAACAAGATCCGAAAGGCCGTTCAAGCAGAAGCTGTGGCCGTAGCCAAACAGCTTGCCAGCGACAACAAGCGAGAGGCAGAGGCTCGGACCTTGATTGGGCCAAAGGGCGGACTTCCTTCACTACGAGGGGACCTGGTGAGACTTGCAGCCCTTCTCCAAGTGCCTCTTGGAGACAAGGACACCATCGAGGTGATCAAAGAAAAGGTGAAGCCAATGGTGGCCATCCTCAAAGAGAAGCCTGTGCAGCCGACCGCTGCAAAGTCTTCAGCCAAAGCCAAAGCTGCCAAGCCGAAAAGCCATCCCAAAGATGCGAGCGCTTCCTCAATGTCTTCAGAGGTGCGCCCACTGTCAGTTCTTCAAGATCAGGTGGCAAGCTTGACAGCACAGTTGGAAGCAATGAAAGCCTTGCTGCCGGAACAGCACCAAGTGCCGGTGGTGGATCTCATGGAGGTGGATGCAAAATCGGAAGTGGAGTCAATGACTTCCGAAGATTACAAGCAAGTTCAAGAAGCGATGCTGGAGGATTGCTATGGAGAAGCCCTGAGAGCACAATACGGGAACATCGACCTGGTGGATCTGACACAGGAGCAGATCGAAGCAGTGGTGGATCCATGAACTTCCCTGACTTCAATCCCTTCAGCTTGAACCAGAAGATCAAGAGCGGCCAAGCTCAGATGATTGCACAAGCCTGGCAAAAGCATGAAGCTGACCGTTTGAAAACCTCCTGGGGCCCAGCCAAGATCCGGGAGACTTTGGTTGCTGACTATGAGAATGATTTCTGGCATGCATTGACGGAGGAAACCTTCATCCAACCCATGGTCTTTGATTTTGAGTCCTTTGCGGTTTCTGACGCCAATGCAGTTGAAAAGAATTCCAAGACTTCAAAGAATGCCAAGGTTTCTGAGTATAAGCAGTTTTCCAAGAATGCCAAAGTCCCATCGAATGTCAAGGTTTCTGCGAATGACCTGGCCACAAAGAATGTCAACCGTTCTGAGCCCTGTGCAGGCTCGTCGAAGGTCAAGCCGTTTGTCACAGAGGTCTACACGAGTGCTGAGAACGTCATGAAAGAGGCCAGAAAACGTGGACACAATGTGGGGCAATCTATGTCCTTGGAAACTGGTTGGAATTTCTTGGATGCCAATGACAGGTTCAAAGCCTACAACAAGATCAGAGATGAAAAGCCTTTTTGCGTGGTTTTAGCATTTCCTTGCAATGGTTTCAGCCCTCTTCAACGTTTGAATGGACTTCATCCCGAAAGAAAAGCAGAAAGAAGGGCGATTGGTCGTGAACTCATGAAGTTTGCTTTGGAAATAGCTGAACTGCAAATCAGAGAAGGTCGTCATGTCATCTTAGAAAATCCTCGAGGCAGTGAAGCTTGGAATGAACCTGAGATGTTGCGTTTTCTTGAGGAGAATGAGCTCTACGCCGCTATCTTTGACCAATGCCGTTTTGGCCTCAAAAGCCTTTCTGGTTGGTTGCACAAGAAGCCAACGAGAGTGGTGAGCTCAAGTTCAGATGTTGCTGCGGAATTGGATGGAGTGACTTGCATGCGCAACCACCTTCATGCGCCAGTTCTGGGCGGCTCTCATGTGACAGCCCGTGCGGGCATTTACCCGAAGCCTTTGGCACGCGCCATGGTTAGGGGCCTTGAGAAGCAGTTTGAACGAGAGTTTGCTCCTCGTGAAGCTCTTGCTGCCGAAATTGGAGAGGATGTTGAGGAGGAGGAATTGGCTTTTGAAGGCGGTGGATTGGTGATGCCTCAAGATGATGGCAGTGATGTGGAGGACGAAGTGGATTCAAAAGGAACTGCAATTCCTGTTTCTTCTGGCATGCGCGCAACAATCCTTCGACTTCACCAGAACACTGGCCACAGATCGGGCAAAAGGTTAGCCCGAGCTCTAGCCATAGCGGGTGCACCTGCAGAAGCAATTCAGGCGGCGAAACAACTTCAATGCTCAGTTTGCCAAGAGCGACAACCTCCTCGTGCCCGCCGTCCTGCTTCTCTTCCTGTGCCTTGCGACATGGGTGACCAGATCCATGTGGACTTGCTGGAAGTTTTTGACACCAGTGAGAAGAAGTACGTAGTGGCCCATGCAACTGATGCCGCTACACGATTTCAAATGGCTGAGATTTTGCCAGACAAATCAACCAAGTCTGTGGTGCGCTTCCTTTCTACCAGATGGATTGCAACATTTGGCCCTCCGAGAGTGATGGTCGTGGACCAAGGCAGAGAATTTGTGTCTTGGGAAATGGAGGAATATGCTGGAAGCCAATCCATTCTTTTGCACCACATTGCCGTTCAGGCGCCCTGGCAAAATGGAATTGCAGAAAGAAGCGGTGGCGTGTTAAAAGCCTTGTTAGCCGCCATCGTCACTTCTCAAAGCGTCCTTGGACTTGAGGACATGCAGGTAGCTCTTGCCGAGGCGACATCAGCTTACAATGGCGACATCAATGAATTGGGTGCCTCTCCTTTTCAGGCCGCCATTGGACGTCAGCCAAGAATGGTTGGAGACGTGCTGGGTGGCATTCAAACCAGGCTTGCGGAGCATGGACTCATAGACTCCAAGCCTTCGCTGGCTAGACAGTTGGCCATGCGAGAAGTTGCCAAAATAGGAATGACCCGCCTTCACTTCAGCCGAAGTTTGCGGAAGGCAGAACTAGCACGATCCCGAAACCCAACCATTGAGCAGCTTCCAGAGCCTGGCACAATCTGCTACTTCTACCGGCCTTTGAAGTACAACAACAAGACAGCGCCGTCCAAGAAGAAGCTCACTCTGAAACGTTGGCATGGCCCTGCACTTCTCCTGGCCATTGAAGGCAGAAGCTCTGGATACTTGAGCTACAAGGGGCAATTGACCAAATGCGCCCTGGAGCACATTCGTGCAGCCAGCACGATGGAACAGATAGCTGCAGATTCATGGCGTGAAGCCATAGAAGAAGCTGTTGAGGCTGCCACCTTGGACTTGTCGGCCCGTGGACTTCCTTTGGCCGATGGTGGCGATGGAACTGCTGTTCAACAACCAGCTGCTGTGATGCCAATGCCTGGCACTCCTGCCTTCTTGCCCTCATCTTCAGCAGCTGCAGTTCCAGAACAAGCAATGCCGGTTGGCGACGACTTGCCTCCGGTAGCGCCTCAAGAACTTGCTGGTGCCTTGATGCCTGCCTCTGCACCAGTATCGACTGTGCCTTCCAGAAGAATGAGTGAGGCGACGTTTGAACGAGCCACCACAGATGGACTTTCGAGTGGACTCGGCGATGGACTTCGAAAACGGGCCTCAAGCTTTGCAAGTCAGTTGCAGGGCGTCATGGAACAGGCACAACGTCAACGTTTGGCAGAGCCTGCAGGAACCAAACGAGCTGCAGACACATCACTGGAAAGATTGAAGGCTGAATCCTCTGAGCCTCCTGATCCTCAACCTGATGGACCTCCAGTGATCACAGCAACTTCATCAAATGAGCCTGCGGCAGAAGCATTGCAGACCACGAGAGAAGATGTTTTGTCCAGTTTGGGCGATCCTTCACTACATCCACTGCAACACATCTACAATGCTGCCTGTGAAGACAGACTCAACCCTACTGAAGTGCGTGTGAAAGATCATGGTTCTTGGGATGGCAGATGGCCTTTACCCTCAAGAACGGAATGGCATGCTCACCAACGGCTTGGACTTCCTTGGCCTTGTGGGCATGATGATCTGGTTGAAAATGACGTGATGGCAGTTCAAGCCAATCGCAAAGAATTTCACTGGCGCTCCATGAGTGATGCTGAAAAGGCTGAGTTCAAGATTGCGGCCGAACAAGCCTGGAGTGTTTGGAAGGAGAATGATGCGGTTGAAGAACTATCTCCTGAAGAATCTCAACGAGTGCGTGAGAGACTGAAGAGAGAAGGCCAGCAGGGGAAGATTCTCACCCCCAGATACGTGTTTACCGACAAACACGAAGGCCTTCGCACTGAGCAGAACAAGTTGCCTCTCCGTGCACGAGCGCGCATTGTTGTTCCTGGTTTCAAGGACATCTTTTCATTTGGACTTCGAAAGGATGCTCCTACATGTTCAAGACTGGCCCAACATTTCCTGTTGACCTTGACGGCATGTTTCAATGTAATGGCTGTTGGAGCTGACCTTGCTTGGACTTTGCTTTCAGCCGACATCAAGTCAGCCTTCATGAAAGGAGATGCCTACATGGATGGGACCAGAGAGCTGTTCATGGAGAACATCCGAGGAGCCCTTGATGAACCTCGCTTGCCTTTTCCTGGACTTGCCAGGATACGCAAAGGAGTGTTTGGTTTGAGTGATGCGCCGAGACGTTGGTATTTGAGGTTGAACAAGTCCCTGATTCAGCAGGGATGGCAAAGAACTACACTGGACTACGCCTGTTGGGTTCTGTGGTCACCATGTGGAACGAGGTTGGATGGCGTCCTCATCTCACATGTGGATGATTTGCTTTTGGGCGGAAACCGCCGTGCTGTCGCCAAACTTCAAGAGCTTGGACGAGAATTGGGGTTTGGAAGCACCTCTGAGAAGGACATCACCTATTGTGGCAAACGTATCCGCCAATGGGATGACGGCCACATCACCATCACCATGGAGGAGTACCACAGCAACCTGAAGACTGTGAACATTCCTGTGCCTCGCCGAGCCAACCCAGACTCAGACTTGACGGAGATGGAACGACGTCAACTTCGTGCAATCCTTGGTTCACTACAATGGCTGGTTGCTCAACTGCGATTTGATTTGGGTTTTCAGCTCAGCACCTTGCAAGGTGAACCGCCGAAGATCAGCACCCTGATGAAAGCGAATCTGCTTGTCAAGCGCTTCAAGCAGGACCCTGACTTTGCCCTGACCTTCAAGCCGATGGATTTGAAGGGAGCTGGAATCATGGTGGTGACAGATGCCAGTTTGGGGAATGTCACCAAAGCTGGCGGAGCTGATGGAACTGTGTTGGAAAAGGTGTTTAGCCAAAGCGCCTACTACGTCCTCCTGGCCGACAAGGACCTTTTGGCTGGACGAGAAGGAAGCTTCTCAGTGCTGGACGCAAGAAGCCACAGACTTCCTAGAGTATGCCCCTCGACATACGGAGCCGAGCTGCTGGGAACGGAAGAAGCCTTTGATGTTGGATGTTTCTGCCGTGGCTGGTGGGCGATGTTGCAAGGCCTTCCAATTGAACACAAGCGTGCTGAAGAAGTCATGGACTGCATTCCTTTGGCAGTCGTCACAGATGCACGTGATGTCTACGACAAAGGGTCTTCAGACACACCTTCCTACGGACCTACGGATCACAAAAATCCCTGGCATTCACAGTGGCTTGGATTCGTGGAGTCCTTGGCAAACCCAACACCATGCTCAAGTGGACATCGACGGAGAACCTCTTCGTGGATTGCGGGACGAAAGACATGAGCACTGAGCATGTGCATAAGATTCTTAGCAGCTGCCGATGGAGCGTGACCTTCAACCAAGAGTTTGTCAAGCAGAAGCAGAAGACGAAGCCGAAGAAGCTCGCTGGCGGAAGCTGTGAGAGTCTGCTGGTAGGTAGTGCTTTGGGTGAAAACTCACCAATTTATCCATACCTAGCTCAGCTTAGTGCAAGCCCTGGATGGCACCAACGCGAAGGTGTCCTAATCAATGTGGCACGCCATGCAAAGTCTTTCAGAACTCCAGGAGCCCGTGTGGATCCAAAGAAATTTCCTTTGAGAACCACGTATGCCAGAATTGACAATCCGGACGGGAAATCAAGTTGGAGAATTTTGGAAGAAGGTGCAGAATATGGCATTTTGCCAAATCCCCATGCACTTTTAGGTACATTGGCCGGCATATTGGTGACGGTGTATCGTTCACAAGCTACTAAGAAAGATATATCAACTGAAGAAACTACTGCATAGCTTGGAACGATTGGCATGAGCAGTTGCCTCACACCTGAATCCATGTTGCCGTGGCCATTTTCCTTTCACGCGAAATGACAGGCCTAAAGCCATTTATGCTGCTACGCCTGCGCCGGAAAAGCTGCTAAGCGAGCTGTTGCAGCTTGGAAGCTTCAAAGGTTCAACCCCAGCTCTGATTGAGTTGAAACTACTAGAAATGTCTGTTGTTCGGACACTCTATCAACTCTTGGTCTTCCTTCTTCGTGCGGTGAAATTTATAATTGCTTCCGGCAGGATGGGATCAGCCTGGTGTACTTGTTTGATCTTGTTTGATTGGAGAGATTCACATGAAGCCTCATGAAGCATTATGAAGCAATGGAGAGTGACAGAGTGAATGCCCCAAACCCGGGGAAAAGTAGTTTCTCGACTCAAGCGAGATGAGACATTCTTTCTTTTCCAGCTGCAAGCTCTAAGTGCTTGACAGGATAAATTAAAGCAAAACAATTATTGAAAAAAATATTTGCTCTCTATGCGACCGTCCCTGAACGTCAGCCTTCCACACTTCTGATTTGCGCTTTGAGGCACGTTCTCACAAGGGTGGCTTGCAACGATTCTGTCAGCCTGTCATCCTGCAATTGCGTTTTAGAGGCTGGGAATCATCAAAAGTGCCAGCATGGCTTGTTTGGAGGGCGTCGTGAGAAAAGAGCTAAGCACATCAGCCCTTTCATTCCATTTTATGATTTAGCCTTTGGTTGGAAGAGATCGTAGATAGTCTTGATATGTTTAGGTTGGGGATGCTCAAAATACACAAATGGTGCAGCTTTATCTGGATAAGCTCTCTGCATGTTTGGACAATTTTGGACATATCCACTTCAGGTTCTGAAGTCGGTTCATCCAAGGATCCCGAACCGGTCACCTGTGCAGGCTGTGTGCTGATGAAGATGGGTGAAAGCCGAGAAGGTTCTGATGCTTGGGCGCCCAGAGACACTCAGGTAGTTGAGATGATGGCATAGCACCATCAACTTCGGAAGCTGCGTGACAAACGATCAAAATGTAAGCCACGCATTTACAAAAAGATCTTCCCGCTCGTGCTCTACTCATGTTTCCCAAGTGGAAGGCTTCTTCCTGCGCGGAGATTGTACAGGTGCCTGCAAGGCAGCAGTTTGTGATTGTTTGTATGTAGCACTTCTAGTACCCTTTTGTGAATCCTGGTCAAGATCTATGAGTCTATGCACTGTCTAAGCGACAAAACAGATCAACGATAAATACATATAAATACACCCATCATCACATAATGAACCAGGAATGTCGTCCCTTAGCACAAACATGTATAAACACGGTAGCATGCTACCCTTCGCAGGACCAAACTAGAGAATCATTTGGAGCTTGATATTACCCACACCATATCGTTGCAGGTATCTACACACATATTCATATGATCCTACAAAGATGTAAAGATGTTGCCCAAGAGAACCTACAAATCGCGGGTTGCTAAAGATGGTTTTCGCTGAGGAAGTTCTTTCCAAGCCAGCGTTTGCTGTGATCAGTGCTGGACTCACTGAACGCGCGGGATCCCAGCGCCTGTTACGCTCAGCTGAGGTAGCATGGAAGGTGAGGGTTTACTTTCGCTCAAAATTTGGGACCTCCTGATATCATGCCGAGAGATGCCGAGAGTAGAGCAGCATATTCTAAAAACACACTTGTTCATCTTGTTCAATGTGCGTCGCGGAAGGGAAATGCTCGAAATGAAGATCTCAGTGTAGGTGATTTATATTGATTTATCAGGTCAAGGGCACGCCCTGTACGCATGCAAATATTTTTCAAGTCATCGTGATAAGTACAGCAAGTCTGTCCTTCACATCAACTTGTAATTCTGACTTGACAGAGAGTGTCCAGTCGCAAAGGTTGATGATTGAATTCTTGTCTATTACTGAATGTGTTTGACAACAGTTTGCACATCGAAATCGAAATCGTTTGTCAACAGCAGTTTTGTTTGGGGTTTTTAAAATTTTTGGTCCATTTTGGGTGTCAGCAAAGCTGGTCCTTGCAGATTGGCGTTCTGCGGTGATGCGAATCTTGTCCAATGAGCTGTGCCCGTGAACCCAGAGACACGGCGGTAAAGCACGTGGCAAAGGATGCGGTGAACCAAGCCCCTGCAAGGCCATGGCAACCATTCAGTATTTTTGTTGGCGTCTCTAGATTCTGGATGAAATACCTAGTCTCTAGATGAATAACCTACGATTCAATACAATTCATATCTATCTATCTATCTATCTAAATACATACGCACATGTATGTAAAGCCAAGTGGACACCAATCAAGTCATTCTGCCAACCTTATAACATAAATCTGTTGTTAAAACCTGTCGTTAAACCATGGAAATTCTCAGCCACTGAGGCATCCGCACGCACCTCACGGAGGCGCTGACTCCAGCGGCCAAGCGTGATGAAGACTGCCTCACGGTGCCACCGAGGGAACCGAGGGAGCACCGTTACAGCCGTTACAGACTGCCAGCTGCCAGGGATCTTTGGATGGGTTGTTTTAATAGGGATTCAGCGAACTGACTATCCTGAAATCCATTGAAATCCCATTCGACCAGTTACTGGCAGTATATGCCCCTTTAACCATCAGCGCATTGGCCAGAAGCTTCTCTTGTCTCTGTTGTCTTTTCTTGATACCCCATCCACTCCCCATCCACTAGCCCATTTGCTGGTTCACAGGCAAAGGACGGCATTGACATGTGAAAGCCATCAATTGTTAACGGCATGGTATGGATAGGTAGCCGGAAGAACAATCGTTGAAGTTCCGCCTAGTCAGGAAACGCATCATTCAGTCTAGAAGTCTGTCTGCTTTCCTAATTTTCTTAGCGTGCCCATTAGTTTGGTTCCCAGGCGCCATTTTCCATCCTGTTGGAAGCAGGTGTTTTAAACCTCGAACATCGTCCATCAGTTGGGCCTTGGGAGTTGTCTCACAGGGTGGGCTGGCCGCCTGGCCGTCTGGCCCTCGCCAATGCTGCGAGTGGCCGTGTCAGTGGCTCGCTGTCATCGTGCCCCATGGAGGTGGAGCACGAGCGCAAATCGAGGTGCCACAGCATCCACAGTATGGGATGGATACTGAGTATCAACAGTATCAAAGATTGTCAAAGGATGAGTGTCATGGAATCTGACTGATTGACTCTGATGGACTCTGATTGACTTGACATAAGTGAGTGAGTTCTGAAATGTTCTGAATGAGTTCTGAATGACCTGGTGGGAAGAAACGCAGAGATGGCAAGTTCCTGTTCCCAGGTGCTTGGAACTGCGTCCAGTCAGCAAGGCAGGTTGGCATATGTTTCCCGCAACAGGATGAATGGACACCTCGAAATCAACCAAAAAAAGTTGAAGTCACAAATTCCACCTCAAGACTTAGCCTCATTTGGGGTTTATTTTGGTTGCCAAATGGTTCCACTTCCAGGTGGGTTGGCAGTCGCGCCAAAGCTCTGGAAGACCTCAGGGAGTTGGACGAGTTGTTGGAAGATGAACTTATCGAGGAGGTGGTGTTGGGACCGTGGGTTTGTACAGATGATGTATGTATACGTATAATATGTATATAAACACATACATATCATTATATCTAGTGTTATTACTATCATAATTTCTATTTCTATTATTATTACTATTATCATCATCATCAGTGCTACTATTGATTTTCCTTATTATTCATATTTATTCATTATATAATTATATATTAATTATTATTATCTATTATTACTATATACATTCTATTTTCATTTTATTACATTATTGTTATTGTTATTTTTATTGTATTGTTATAATGTGTATATATATATATATACACGCATACATAACTAATGTAGAGATCACAGAACCATGGCCTTGTAGATCCATGGATTCCCCCGACACCTGCGACCCCAACATGACTTCGATGTCCACAAAACATCTTCAAAAGTCAGATCGCAGGAGACACATGCCACGCAGCTCCAGCACATCCTGACGGAGTTTGGTGTGAAGAGCCGGGAAGAGCTGCTGAAAGGAGAGCCAGGAGAGCCAGCTCCAGCTCCAGAGCCGCCTGAAGAGTTTCCGAAGGAGGAGGAGGCGCAGCAGGTGCACCAAAACCGAGATCTGTTGAAATCTGCACTGTCTGCACTTGAATCACCTGAAACTGATTTCCGCTGATTGCACAATTTCCAAGCATTGACTCACTCGACTATGGTCATTGTCACACGACAAACCGATGCGCTGCGTCACTGCGTGGCTGTGCTGTGAAGGCTCGGGTCCAGCTGCTGCAAGAACAGCTGCAAGAGTTGGACGAGCTGCTGGAGGCCAAGAGCTTCGCAATGTTCACTTCCAATTTAGGGATCTCAACAGATCTCAATGGGCATGACAGTTATCAAGATATTCATTTGTTTTGCTTTAAGAAATTGTGATTGGTCTTCAGTTTTCTCCCATGCTTGAAAGCTTTTGTGAGAATCCGGGATATCAGTGCAAGTTCTTGTTGAAGTTTCTTTCTTTTGTGCAAGCAGATGACCCGACTCGGATTGTTTTAACACTCGTATATCTTTTCTCCAATGAGGGCTGGTTGCACAAACAGACTGAGCTGCGTCAGGATGAACTGATTGAAGAGGAGGTGCGATTCACTGGTGCTGCAACCAGCTTTTCCAATGAAAGAGGTTGTTTGAGCTGAGTGAAGAGGGAGTACTGTGACTTTTGGCAGCCTTTTTTTTTTTGCGGGACAGTCTTTGAGCATTTGATGAGTTCTCAATCCCCATGGATCCAATGCCCACGCCTGGAAAATGGTCTGGTCATAGTTGGCAAATGCTTGGTCTTATGTTGTAATACAGAAGTGATTGTCGATTCAATTGGATCCTAGCTGATATGGGCCCCTCTGAGCAGCCAAGATTTGGATCTTGGAGTCCCTACAAAAAATACATACGTACTGTGCAAAGTTGGATGTCCAAGAGTTGTCAGAGTTACCCTCTGGTAATTTAACATAACTATGGAAAATCACCATTTATAGTGAATTTTCCCATAAAAAAATTGTGATTTTCAATAGCTATGTTAAATTACCAGAGGGTAACTAATTGGATTTGTTCATTTTGTTCCAGAGATCCCACTGGAGCAGCGTTTCATGGAAGTCTCAACAGTCTCAACCATGACTCAGATGGCGCCAAGCTCAGGTTCATGCTGAACAGCGGAAGCACCTGCTTGCAGCGCTAGCCAGAGAAGGTCCTTTACTTTGAAGTCGGGATGTACAGAGAAGCAAGATTAAGCTAGTTTAATTTATGGCGATTGATATTTATTTCAATACTTTGAAGTCAGATGAAATCTGAAAGGGTCCAACGCTTTAAACCCCTGCCACGGAAAGGTGCCAAGGTCGTGAATTTCGATGACTTTTGGACTTCTCTGCCAGCAAGTCACCCGAGGTCACCAGCCGTGAAGGGAAAGATGGAGGAACGGCTGATGGAAAGGACAGGGCTTGTGACTGTTCCACCATTTTTTCCTCCTCGTTTGTTCCAACTGTGCGATGTTCAGGGCATTGAATCCTTTGAAGCCACAAGCCGTGCGGAAATCTCCGCTGGAAACCAGTGATGCTTGGGTTCCGTTGGGTTCGGTTTCGATTGCATTGCACCGGCAGGACGACGTACCATTAAGGAAGCTTGCCAGGCAGCATAGCGAAGCAGGTGAATTTAGACGTGTGTTGTCACCATTGATTCAACCATTGTTTCTCAGCTTCCCACGACAACCTGCAGCACTCAAACTCTTTCTATTTCATCTCCTGCACAATGCGAATTCCTGCCAATTCCTGCCAATTGCTGCTCTTCCAGTGGCTTTCCTCTTGTTCTTCTTGGTGTTATGGTGGGAATGCGCGACTTGTTTTGCGACGTGACACATCACATTTAGTGTTAATCATTTGCATGATGCCAATTCGTGCAGCTTCTGGGCTCGAGCTGAACATCCAAGCACCGACATTGTGGCACCATGGCCATGGCTCAGGAAGAAATCCATGTGGCCCTCCATGAGGAATCTCAAGCCCCGACAATTGGCCACAGTGGGATTCCTGAACCTGCAGAGCTCGAAACTCAATTGGCCCTCCAGTCAGATTGGGTGCAGAAGAACATCAAGCACTTGCTGTACCAAGAATATGCAAGGTCCTTCAAGAATGTGGTTGGGCAGTGGGCTGTCTTTCGTGAGATCATGTCAAATTTGGTTGCTGTCAACCAATCACCTGAGGCAGAGGCCTTTTGGCAACTCGTGAGAGAGATCCACCCTACCAGAATGGCATCTTCGAAGAAGTTGGCAGATTCCATTGACAAAGAGACGTCAGAGCTGAAGGAATTGATCACCAATCAGGACTTCACACGAAGATTTGGAGCCAAGGCGACTGACGGGGCACAGAAGTACAAAGAGCTCCAACCAAAGCTGCTCAAGTTGTGGTCCAAATATGAGGAAGAAGCTGCAAAGTGTGAGGCCGCTGGCAAGGTTTCTCAGGATCTCTTGACCCAGACTGAGCAACACCGAGATAGGTGGTTCTGGTTTCTCGATTTCCTGGGCAAGAGCGCTGCCGTTGGAAGTGCAAGCCTTTTCTTTGGCTCAGCCACTTCGATTGGATACCTCTACCACCTCTACCAGGCCAAAGCTGCTGCCATGGGATTGGCAAAGGCCAAGTATGCAGCAGCCAAGAAAGCTCTAGCAGGGAAATCTGTAACGGTTCATGTAGCAGCTGCAGAAGCAAAGGCCGCGCAAGCAGTTGCTGCCCATGATGCTGCTGCAGTGACCTCAGGGAACCACGCTCTCCAAGCTGCCTCTGGAACTGAGGTTGCAAGATGTGGCACAGGCCACGTATCAAGCCGCTTTACAATTGCAGATGCAGCCTCCGCTGCAGCTGGTGCAGCTCACAGCGCGATGTCTGGGGCCGCTGCAGAGGCAGCGTCTGCTTTGTCCAACATCAACTCGCAGCCGGTGGTCTGATCCACCAACCCCATTTCTTTGGAAACTGCAAGCGCATGCTGGACATATACTACATGACATGACATGACATGACATGATATGACATGACACGACACGACACGACATGACATGACATGACCTTTCATTCCAATCGCTTCCGCTACATTACATACATAGATTTGCAATATATAGACATTTTTGCTGATAGATATGCTGCCTGCTGAAGTGAGGCCAGAATTCCATTCAAAATCTTTCACTTGGACATGGACCAAGCTTTGGTGGTCAAGCCGTCACAGGTCGCCATGTCATCGTTGTCCACCACTATGTGCTCAATCGCCCCGGTGTCTCTTACAGCCGGTAACGTTTTGGCTCTGTGCATGATTGGCTATGCTGGCAGAGATGCGGTCAAGGGCTGGCTCGGAAGGCCCTGTTTGCATTTTGAACATTTCCAACTGAGCGCATGAACAAAATAGGACCCCTCAAATCCACCAAAATGATCCAAAATGGATGTTGTGACTGGCCGACCCTATTTGGATGCACCCAACTGTACGTTTGCAGCATCCTTGGTCAGGCTCTGGGAAGAGGAACTCAAGCAACATAAAGAGATGCGTGACTTGTTCCTGGGCAGGGCCCAAATCCTGAGGGATGTCTGTGGACAGTTGAAGGCCTTACACAAAGACTCCGAGAATGTGGAGGACGCACTCGAGGATCTGGAGATTGTCGCAAACGATCTGGCGAACGCAGCGAAATATTATGCCATCGACTTTGAGGCGGACGAGGTGGATGAGATGGAGAAAGAGGCCAGCGCAGATTGTGGGTACAACTTTCCGAAGGTCAGTAGATCGCAAATAAAATTATGTGAGTTTCGTTTTCCTGTCCTCAACACAGCAAATGGACCTGACCAGCGCATGATTTCACATCATTTTGCCACGATGGCATTTGCAACCTGCGTGCCGTCCCAGAACGAAGACTTCTTTGTTTCCAAAACAGACTGTGTCGCTGGCTCACGAATTGCCATTCATGTTGTCACTTTTTGCGATGCAAGGTCGATAGGCTTGCTGAAAAACTCACTCGAGCTGCTGCAGCCTTCAGTGCATTTCAGGACTAGATTTCAGGAACTAGGGTTCTTCCACAAGCTGGAACCATCTTGCAACCAATTTCTTAAATTTTAAAGACCCCTTGCCATCCAATCGAATCCACCAATCGCCTTTTTTCTCGTGTCAGAGAGGTTTGGGTTGCCCTGCTCCAATTTGCTTCAGGACAGCTTGAAAGACGCCTCAAAAACGCATCAATTTCAAGTGACTCTTCTTTCCAATGATGCACACATCCCCCAGATCGCACAGCAACCATTGATTGGTCTCGTGAATGGCAACGAAGCTCATGGTGAACCACTTCTTGGTTTCAAGAACGGCAACAAAGCCCATGGTGAACCACTGCTTGATCTTGAGAAGGGCAACAAAGCCCATGGTGAAGCAATGCTTGGTTTCGAGAACAGCAACGAAGCCCATGGTGAACCACTGCTTGATCTTGAGAAGGACAACGAAGCCCATGGTGAAGCAATGCTTGGTCTTGAGACTGGCAACGACACTGATGGTGAACCACTGCTTGGTCTCGAGAATGGCAATGAAGCTCATGGTGAACCACTTCTTGGTTTCAAGAACGGCAACAAAGCCCATGGTGAACCACTGCTTGATCTTGAGAAGGACAACAAAGCCCATGGTGAAGCAATGCTTGGTTTCGAGAACAGCAACGAAGCCCATGGTGAACCACTGCTTGATCTTGAGAAGGACAACGAAGCCCATGGTGAAGCAATGCTTGGTCTTGAGACTGGCAACGAC